AATATGTAAACCAGGGAGAGGGCAGACGGATCTTACGGGGCAAGAGAGAGACTGTGTTAAGTCCTATGGAAGGAGGACTGCGTAACAATATGGCAGACTCTGATCGACATTCCCAACACAAGGATGAAGGGGGGTGAGAAGGCCAGCGTAGAGTGCGGAGGGTTCTCATGAAAGCCGCTTAAAATGGCACACGGTACCACATTTAAATAAGCGAGTAAAAAATTGTGACAGTGAAGACGTGATAGGAGGATATAGGAAATGTGAATTGCAAGGGCAGAAGGGGAGATGCCATAACAGTTTAGCCCACGTTTGGTCAAAGCATCGGCTTCGCTTAGTAATATTGTGATACGAATGACAAAACTCACTGACGATGCTGACTACAATGCCGGCAAAACGTCTGGGAATGTGCCACGTCCACGGTCCTACTTTAGAAATGATTATGCATACAATAGACTCCGGACTAGGTTCATTCCTCTACCTATATGACCAAGTTTCGAAAACAAGGTCAAACAACTTCATTCCAACTATAACTGTGATTTCCCTTGTTATAATCGAGACCGTGAATTGAATCCTGATGTAATTATTTGTGAGGTTTAAGCAAGGTCGAAACCGGTTCATTTTTGAACAATATAGCTCTTTGGTGGACAAAGGCAATCGAACTTCTATGATATCGTGAAGCCTTTTCATCCCAGTATGTGAAATTTTAGCTATACTTCCTTAAATCACTTTAGACAGCTTAATGTAAAGTTAAGACAAGGCGATGGCTGTTAGAGGAGTCAAACCTGGAATCCGCCTGGAAATTTAACTTTGTGGATCTACTTATATGATGTGAGATAGGAAATTAAAGCCCAAAAACAGTCAGATTATGTTCCATTATAGGCGTTATGCTAAAAGTACAAGAGTGTCAGATATAGGTCACTGGGGTGTGTGAGTGTGTGCTTGTATGCATTTTTCGGATGTGCTTTAATTAGAGGTTGCTGATGCTATGCCTGACCAAGAGAGGGTACCAGCCAAAGTACAAATGAATAACTGACTAGTACCATAGGCTCAGATGAGACTGTCAGCTTGAGAGACAAAAGGAGTGTGCTTTGTAGGATTCGAGAATGGAAAAAGGGAAATGATGCATTTTCACACCAGTGGCAGCTAATTAAGCCGGACACGTCTCCAAATAATGAGATACAATGGGAGTGGGGATGAGAAAGAGGATAACTGGATGATGAGTCTTAGGCATAGGAAGGAAAGATACCTAGGCATGGGCATCACCGGTTCCAAATCCTCAAATATGACTGGAATTGAAGGCTCTTAAGCAGACAGATTTGAGACAGACAGACAGTGATTTTGAGTTGTAGCAACGACTAATTGACAAGCCAGTTAAGGGTGGGAGTGTTAATAAGGTCAGAAGCCCTGCATTTGGCATCTGGAACCGGTAGTGAATATAATTACAATACCCTAAACTCACTTAATAGCCAAGAATGGTGCGAATAGGTAAATGGGCTGTATGAAATGATAATGAAGTGATGCCACAACGGTTAAAGATAATATTTGTCGAGGGGATTGCCTTCACTTTTCCCTTTGATAACTCTCTCTATGCTAACGATGGTGTCTCTCACTGACAGTGCCGGCGAAGAATCTGGGAATGTACCAGGTCAATGGTCTGATCCTGGAAATCACGGATACTTTGGCGGAGAACATAGGACTAGATACGTTCCACATTATCTTCCTGAAGCTTCGACCAAATCGCGAAAGCAAGATCGAATCAACACTACAAAGCTAAATAAGTCTGTGTCCAAACAAAAGGTCACATCATCTTGATCTACATTTCTACGATTTAGGGTGCTTAAATCCTTATTGCTGAATTATTGATAGTCACGAAACATACTTATACCGAGCATCCTCCTCCATTTTTCGGTGAGGCCGATTAACGAATCCCATGAGACAAACTTTTCCTTTGAACTGAAACGCCAAGTCACGTTGTAGGACTGTTCTACTGGTACTCTCGAAAATCTGCCTATAAATGAAAAATACGTTGGAGCACTGTTTGTGTTTCATTGCGAGGATCAAACTGATTTGGCTCTGATATAAGTGTATATAAGAAGCACAAAGAATCGGCATACAGATAAAGTTGTACAAATTAGAGGTGGCCCTTGGGGAGGCTCGAATTGCCTTTACCCTAAGGGAGTTTGGCAAGATAGCTCGGAAAAGGTTACAACATTGCAATGGAGAGCCCTCCTGGTTATCATTGAGCCAAGCGTCGAGACTTTCCACATTCTGCCACTTGGGACATGAGACTGGTGTAGAAGTTAGAGTGGCGTGCAGGAGCAGACATCGTAGCAACAAGTAAGATAGTACTTACTGCGAGTAGTTCTCATGATGTCTAACCTTTCAGACTGGACTGCGGTTATGACCTCACCTATTCTCGTACGAGCCCTCATTCAGATTCGAAACTAGGTCGTGCGCTTCAGATAGAATCATGCCCACCGTCTGGTGGAGTGGTAAGTGGCCTTATTTCTATCGTTTTATCATTTTTATTTTTACTATAATTAATTACTTAACTATGATGTTACTCTTCGATATTACTGCCCTTCAGGTACTTCTTTCAGCACCAAGGGCAACCTTCGCTCCCACTTCGCACAGGTGCATAATTTGAACTCATATTTATGTTGCAGCATTTGCAAGAAGAGGTTAAGCACAAAGTTAGTTCCTTTCCCTCAAATCGCCTTTTTATTATTTATTTTTCTATATTCTTCTCCATTAATCTTTTTTTCGATCTCGTTAAATTTTTACTTCCACTTTTTTCATCTTCCACTTTCATAATAAATTATTATCTTCCTTAAATTTTTTTGTCTCTTCAAATCATTTGTTTTATCTTTGATCTCTTCCTTTAGACAAAATCTTGAGCGTCATATTCGCGTCGTCCATCACTACTCCCCTGATCGCCCTTTCTCGCCAACAAATAGGAAATCCATGTCCTCCACCTTTCACACTTCCTCAAAGATAGATCCTGTTTTATACACCCCTTCTGTTGTGCTTAGTTCCTTTATCAACAACCCCAGCCCGAGCAAAAATATCAATATCTCCAGGCCTGGCTCACTCACTGAGGCGCAGGTCCATACTCAGAACCCTATTGACATGCGCTTGCCAGAGAAGCAATCTGCTCCTCTGGAAATCTTGTTTCAACCTCCGCAACCGATTGCTTTTACATCTTCTCTTAGTTACCACCAATCTACGTCTCTCAATTCACGACTTTCTTTGTCAGTCCCTGTCACACAATCAGCCACCATTTCCACTACATCTACGTGTAATGCTTCTATTTTCCCAGCCACGTCTAATTCGTCCACTACAACTCCCTCTTCCCCGAATACTACCCTTGTTCCAATTTCTCCAACTGGGCCATTCATTTCAACTAGGACTGTCCTTTCCTCTAGTGCACTTACGGTTCAAGCAGACCTGAAAAATGATTCAGCTGAACCTGAGCCATCCCCGAATAGTTCTTACAGATCTCATATGCTTTATGAAAATGAAGATACTAATGGTTCAGATTTTTACCAATCAGTTGTTGGTGGCTATGAGCCCGAATCTCATAACCAAGGTTAGGCTTGTCTGCAATTTTATCTTATTTTTTATGATTTATTTTTTTAGTTTTATACTGCTTATACTATTTTAATTAATCATATTATCTAAATATGGTAAAGCCTATCCTCGTCGCCATATTCCCATGTTTTTAGCGCAATAGAAGCTAAAATTTTTATTAGCTTTAGCTTATTTTGTTTCTCTCCTTTAATCCATGCTCTACATGCTTGTATTTTTTTCAAAAACTATATTCGGATTCCCAAACATTTTCATTTTAATCTGCATCCCTTTCCTAGGTGGTAAGTTGTTCTCCAGTTCGCTAAATGATTCGACAGACCATTCTAGCCAGACTACACAAGATTCGAATGGCTCAACGGACTCCGATCGTGGCTTCTACCTATATCTGGCTCCACCACCTATTTCTCCCTCTCTCTCTCTACATAGCCAGCCATCGATGGTCCATTCGCCGAGCCACTCACTCTCAGAAGCCATCTCTAAGGCAAATTTACTTCCAATCTCTTCACCTCCTCTCCAGAACGACGTTCAAGCTCAGTCGTATGAGGCCCCTACATCCCAGTCCACTTCAGATAATCTCAACCTGCTATTACCACAGATTACATCTAGTGCTTTCCAGTCACCATATCCGTGTTCCTCTTATGCTTTCTCCCAGGCTCCTTCCATTATTTCATCCGACACTCTTGCCTATCAGTCACTGCCCCTTAATTCCTCACGCCTCCAGTCATGT